AAATAGAAAAAAGGAAATCTATTTTTCCTTTTGAATTTCTTTGAAAAACACAGGATAAGATGTAAGGTTAGGCCACACCCTAACCCTTTGGTGGGTGAGAACCCAACTGGTTAAATTCAGGCTGATTTAAGGCCTAGCAACTAGCTTTCGCAAGATGCTCCGATTGTTCCTTTCATACATCGTCTTATTGTGTTTGTGCAGGTTCTCAGTCATCCTGGTCTTTATTAGTCTTGAGTCTTGAAATGAAGATGAAGGCAGCATCGCTTCTCTTTTGTTTGTGAAGATGGAAGGACTCTTGGATGAGAGGTAGAGCGTCTTCACAAACCAAAAAGAAGTCCAGCTGCTGCTTGTACTGATATCTGTATGTACCCAAGGGTTATAATACTGATTTATGAACTTATCAGAAACTGTGACTTAATCGTGTTTTTCTGACTCACAGCTTGTTGAAGACCAATGAGAAATGACTCACAAGGACAAAAGTAAGGTGAAGCTATTAGTCCCATAAAACCAATTTAAGATTTTTCACCTTTGGTGAGGTTTTTCGTTTTCACCACATTTCGAGTCACATTTGAGTCACATGTTCCGTCAACAGTCAACAGGCTTCTCTTAAACACTCAGCCCTAATAAAGTGGGGTTAGTTTACTGTGTGGGGAAGTTCGTAGCTACCAGATTAAAAAAAATCTTTTTCTATAGAAGGAACTGAAAACAAATGATGGCTGTTTCTCAAATGTCAGGTGTCATTTATGTCATAGATACTGAGCATTGTAAATTCTAAATACCAAATGTCACGGTTCTGGGTCAGTTTGACCCAGTATTTTGAGTTGTTATGGTTTGGGTTTATTTTGAATGATGGATTGTTCTTTATGTTTCTCTGGTGCTTTGTTGGGTTTTATGATGAATCTGTGTTTCAGTTATTTTGGTGTGTTTTCGCATTATGGATTGTTTTCTTATTGTCTTGTAGTGCTTGTGGTGGTGATGATAGATTATTATTAGTTTCTTGTTTATCCGTGTTTAAGGATTTGTTGTTTCATGTATATATCTACACAAAGCAAACAGTTTATGCAGTAAT